TGCTTTTTGCACTATGCCATTCCAAACCTTTGAGTAAAACCAAAGTGCAAAGACTGTTCTTGATAGACTTTTAGATGGAAGAGTTGAATGGGAGATAAAGATAAACAAACCTCTTATCTTGACAGGACCTCAACTCATTAGGAAGAAGAATGAAGATGAGAGAAGGTAGGAGGTAAGAATGGCAGCAAGACAAATAATCACGGAAAGAGCCTGGAACAGGGCAAATGCCAGACATTTTCAAGATTAGAAGAAATCTGAATTGACTTAAAAAAAATCAAAAAATTTTGTCAGGCAGAAGCAAGAGTTTAGGTGCATAAGGGAATAAGGCAGGAATACTGTATTATTAGTGCATATCTGCAGGGGCACAAGAAAAGCGTGGCCCTAATAGATAAAGACAACAAATATCCAACTGTTCCAGTAAGGTTCTGAATATTAAAATTTCTTTCCTTCCAAAAATGTGTAAAGAGGAGAGGAAGGAGAAAAAAAGGTAATGATTTAGAGGGATGTCTCATGTATTATTTACTATTATAGGAAGGAAAGTCAAATTCAATAAAGTACAGATTGACTTATCAAACAAAATCCAGCAATAAAATTAATACAGATGTCAGTGAAGTTGTGCCCTAGCACTTATTTTTAAAGCCATGTTTCAAAAAGGTTATTCATGGGATTTGTGGATAATTTTTATCAAGTAGTTAAGAGCAGGCACTAATAATGACAAATATTTGTGTTCTTAGAGTGTCATTCAATACTTATGTTTTTAAGATTAGCCCCTAAGAAACTGCTTATTTACTTTTGGTACTTAATGATTGTTTAGGATGTGAAGCCATTAACATGGGTCTCCATAGACCATAGAGAATGTTATGACCTCCAGCCACTGATTATTTTTGAAGGAATGGGAGAAATATTATGTATTATGTATTTTATATCATATGCATAGTATAGCAAATATTTTGCAAAGAAAACACAGACCTTAAAAGCACATTTATTTTAAATAAATTTAAGAAAGTACATACTTATTCATACTTTCTCATTGATAATAATCACATAATAATTTTTATTATTGATATAATCATAATAAGTGATTATTTTCACCAATTTCTAACTGCTACCAATTCCTTATAAGACAGCTAGGATTTATAAATATTGATTAGAATAGTCTTTGGATTTTAATCTAACTTTAAAAAGCTAAAAAACCTTTCAGCTTTGATGGGAAGAGTAGGGCTCTAGAATTTGAAAGAAGAATAACCTCAAAAACCCCTACATGGCTTTTCTCATCTGCAAATTGTTTCTCAGTGTCAGGTGAAAGCATCTTTCTTCCATATTTTTATTTTACTTCTCTTGTTTCACGCAGTAGAGACAGTGTCTAATCATGACCCTTTAACGATTAGGAAAAAACAGTTTTCAGGCAATTTTCCTTTTAAAAGTTTCAGCAAAATTTTGCTTCTCAGTTTCCCAGATCATTGCCTTTATACACATATAGCTTCCTTTCTCTACCCTACCTCCACTTTAAGGATGATCTCAACATCTAGTGATTTTTAAAAAATTCTGTTTGGGGTACCAGGTGTTTTAGGATGACAGCTCTTCAAAAGTCATTTTCAAGAGTGCTTGTAAGATTTATGATAGTTTAGACCAATTCTTAAGTAGAATTGAATATTCTGCCTTTCAGGTTTATATAGTTTTTTCCTTTGGTCTGTTGAATGGCCTCATTTTAGTAGTATTTGTGTTTAAGTTGGCTTGTAATTCTCGACTGTGTGCATTGTAAGACACGCAGTTTATCAGAAGAGGTCTATGAATTCTAACAAAAGTTGGCTCCACTATACAGACTGCCAGGTCACTTTTGAGAGATAGGAAACCTATAACACGTCGTATTATTTAAAGAAGGTATGGAGTGGAACTTTAGATTTGAAGAGGAAAAAAGTGGGTCAGCAGCAGTATTAATTATATAATTTGGGGGACCACTGCAAAATGAGAATGAAGGGACCCTTATTCAAAAATGAAGAATTTTGAGACAGTGCTAGCAGAGCATTCAACCGAGCATGGGGCCCTGTGTGCCTGCGCAGGTCACAGCCTGGCCAGAAGTTGAGATGGGAGTAAGGAAAAAGAATGAGTTATTTTCTCATGGTATTTCCCTCTGTGTATCTTATCCCACTCTTACCTATGTACTTGTCAGATTGGACCCTCTCTTAAAGGGGCACTGTTGTGCCAGTAGCTAAGACACTGACTTAACTCCAGCCCATGGGGGCAGGGGCATGAGAGGGAGGTTGGATTCCACCAGTGATGGGGTGGGGAGTGGGCTTTGGGGGTCTTTGGAAGCTACTGAGGAGAGAGAGCATGATCTTGGGAACTCGACAACTTCCTAGCAGTGTATTAAAGTTACTTAACCTCTCTGAATCTAATTTTTCATTATTGTAAAATGGTGATATCCACGTTGCAGGGTTATTGAATGGATTAGAGATACTGTGGAAAATACCTACCACAGTGGATGGTCTGCAATGGGAGCTCATTAGGCACTAAATATGGTCATTTTTTTGCGAATGATGAGATGTTCTGAGGATGGGTGAAAAGGTGTCAGGTCTTAATTAAGGTGGAGGATCTCAAAATGCTGAACATAACTCCTAAGAGCTGTTGTCTCTCTGCATCCAGTTCCCAAGTGTCTTTGAATGGCTTCAAACTCAGAATTGCATCTTCTTCCCAAACTCGGTAAGGAACAATCTGTGGGAAGTTAGTACACAGTACAGTTTAGTCTCTAGCACTGAAAATTTGCCAACTTTCACCCACACTGCAGAGATGAGAAAGCAGCTGTGGGCAGATGGTGGAGTAAGAGCCACGGGGTCACTAGGATGCATTATGCTTACAGATGTTCCATTGTTCACCCTGAGATTTTGTAGTTTTGTCTATTTTATGCAGTTACAGTTCCATAGTAATCAAGGATACAGCCAAAACCATTTTGTGTAGTTTTCCACTTTGTTTTAATTTACTATTTGTTGTTTACAATATTATCTCCAATACCAACAATGGAATTTCCTTCCCTACTCATCTGGCCTGTTTCCATTTTGCCTGTTTATTTGAATTTCCTTTTTTTTTTGGACTGAAACTTCCATCTGACTCTCCTTTGTTTATTTCCTTGTCAGCATCATTTATTAGCATGTCCACGCAGAAGAACTTTGTTCATTAATTATAAAGGTTCTGTTTGCTGGTTCCTAGCGGGTGTGTATTAAGTGCTCTGTGTTTCCAAGTTCCACCCAGCGGCTTTGGTTAGCCGTCCCCTCATCATGACTCTGCGAGCAGGTGGCATCTCTCTGTGGAGCATGTGAGGCAGAGAAGCAACTCTGCTTTGCAAGATGCTTGTCTCGGGTGCTCTGACCAGCACTCCTGCCTGGCTTCTCAGGGCTGTTTCCCATTTGCTTTTATTTGGGCGATAGGTTATGCGAGCATCAGACCTGCTTTTGGCAAACACGCTCAGTTCTTTGAAGACATCTCCTTGAAAACTAGTCTGTTGTTACCTAATGAGCAATTGCTACCTGCATTCTTAGCTGCCTGGGGGGGCGTGTGATGAATATTGGAGTTGGCCCTTCCTTATGAAGAGATTAGAGCCCACTAATGCCATAACAAAGTTGAAGAGAAGAGGTAACTTGACTTTTACATCTGTTATTTGATTATATACTGCTGCCTCATTTTTACTGGATTCCCGTGATTTACTGAAGCAACCAATTCATCAAACATTTCTTTAGTGCTTACTTTGTATTTGATACTATCTCTAGTTTTGAGATCCCTAAAAGACCAGAAGGTGGAAATAGTATCGGAAGAAAATAAATATAATGAAGTGTTACAGGTGGCATGATAGAAATCTGTCCAGAGTATATATAGAAAGTACCAGGGGAAGAGAGGTCTGTTTTCTTGGAGTTGAGGGTGGAGGAGAAGTGTCACAAACAAATGCAAAAGACACTGACTATATTTGGGCGCCGTCACTACTTGCAAATGGATGAGACAGAGTGGCTGAGGAGAGGACAGGGCGTGGTGGGAGGAGGGAAGGGGAGGAAACAGACATCAACGGCCTTGGATGCCTCTTAGGACTTAGGGTTTTATTCTCTAGGAAAAATTTTAGGTGAATGGAAAAACATGATCACATTTGCCTTTTCAAAATTACCCTGAAGAGGATAGATTCAGGGTGACTTGACTGTAGGCAAGGAAATTCCTTTGGACAGTATGGTGCCCAGCAGGCATGATGTGATTCTGAACAAGACAGTGGCAGATGGAAAGATGTCAAGGAAATAGATACTTTATAGAATGGGTATCAGTTTTTAAATATTGCCTTTACAGCAACTACTGAATGAAACTGAGGCTCAGGAAGGTAACAGAGTCAATAAATATTGAAAACAATCTTCCTCTGTGCTTCCGTTGTCATTTGGAAACATGATTATGGCAGCATTTCACTCACTATATTGTAGTACAGAATGTTGTGGTTACTCTTTATATAACCTCTTCTGCCCTGAGGTGCTAAGCTTCTTAAGATTAAGAAACAAACTACAGAGTTATTTGTGTATGCCTAGCATGCAGCCTCGTATGAGCCAGTGCTCCATGGATGTTTGAAGAGCAAGACTCCTGAGACCACAGCCATACTTCTCCACGTGCACTAAGTGGCGTGGCAATAGGAAAACACCCCTTGGCCTTGTCTTACACCCACCTATTTCTGTCTATCCTCCTGAGGGTGCCAGAGCAAAGCGACAAGCAGATACACAGGCTGCTAACGCTTTTTACTTTGCTTTAAAGTTTGTATCTCTTCTTCTTTTATCAAAATGCATCCCTACCTCTGGAAGCCTGCATTGAAATACCAATAATGAATATTTAACATAGAAAAAGTGGCCCTAAAAGTTGATGGCTATTGTGATATTGTCTTCAGTGGTCTCATTAACCTCACATAAGCATGATAATTTGCTTTCACATTGCTTTTTATGTTACTTAATGTTTTAACCCAGATCTCACATTTTTCTTCCACACAGATCCGTGATGCCTCCTGCTTGGCTCTTTCAAGATGGAGGGGAAACCTTTGGGCGAGCCTTCTCAATTGGTGTCTAAACTCAAATTTTCCACCAAGGTAGAAAGCACAGGACACTGGCTCGTGGAAGATCATGCTCGAATATGGGAAGTATTAAAGACAGAAGAGGTAAGATAACTGTAAATGACACAAATGGTTCAGTAATGGCTTTTCTTAAAATGTGAGACTCTAATTCCTGGTATAGCCAGCACCACAGGCTAGCTTGGCAAATTTTTATTATAGGCCTAACATGACTGGAGAACAGTTAAGTCAGGAGTGTGTCCCTTGGACCTTAATTAACTCCCCAGTGATTCAGCCAGGGGAGGTTGCACTGCCAGCAGTGGCTTAAGATATGCAAGTAGACATTCTGCTCATAGGATCCTCCCAAACCTAAATGGGAAATCAAACCATGATAAAAGAAAGTTAATTCCTCAGGCTCAGTAACAACAGATGGAATAAATATGTAAGTTCACTGTTTGACAGCAAGAGGCTAAGCATATTAGAATTCTTTGGTTGCATGCAACATAAATGGATTCTGATTAATTTAAAGAAAATGGGAAATTTCAGGAGGATTTGGGAGGCTTACCAAATTGCTGAGAAGTTTAGAAAACTGGGCTTTGAAATTGCACAGGAATCGAGGCAGCAGGAACTGCTCAGGGAGCTACCCTTGGTATAAATCTCAAACTGGTCCCACCCTCTCTTTATTCTCACATTTCTCTGCTCAAGATGCAAAAGCCAGGGGAGAGAGGGGCTCTCTGCCAAGCTTAGTTGCGTTTCTTTCTCTTGGTTGTTCTGCAAAGAGAAAACGAATCTTCCACGAGAAATCATTATACCAAGTCCTCACAGCACTTGCACTGGGAGTCCAAAGCTCTATTCTCCACATGTTGTGATGATTCCAGTTCAAGAAAGTAACATAACAACTAATGTCCTAAACATGTGAAATTCAGTCAAAGCAAATGTAAACCCTCTCTACAGGGATACTTGCACAACAGACTTTTTTTTAAAGGAATAAAACTCCACAGAGAATAGTTGAGCTCTTTGTATAGTCTACCTAACAAGGCCAAAAGTAGGGCCAGATAAGTGAGGTGTTGAGGGCACAAAATTTAAGGAAACACTCACTCTTAGGTTTGTGTCCTGTGCTTGCCCAAACTTGAGATTTAATGCGCCCTTATGCTTTGCACCCTAGGTGCCTTGCTTGCTTTGCCCTAGTCCTGCCAGTGCCACCCAGTTCTGTTCCCTTCCCTCCTTCCCCAAAGGTCATCGCTATCCTGCATTTGGCATTTATCATTCTTATGCCATTTCAGTGTCTATGCTACATATGTGTTATCTACATATCCAATAAACAGCATTGGTTTATATTTTTTAAAATTTTGTATAAGCTTTACACTGTATAGCTACTTCTACAACTTGCTTTTTTTTAACTTACCATTTTTCTCTCTATTCTGTTTTTCATGTTGATACATATAGCTCTGGTTTTTCATTTTAACCACTCCTTATATTCCATTGATTAATAGAGTCAAATGTATTTATCTCTTATCTTATTGATTTATTTTTCATTTTTTCAATACCAGGCAGTGAAATGTGTAACACATTTCTTTAGCACAGACACCTAGAAGTGGCATGCTGGATGATAAAATATGAAAACCTTCCATTTTACTAGTTATTACTAGATTGGTCTCCCCCATGAGGATATACATTTATATCGCCACTAGTGGCATATGAGAATTCTCTCTGCTGTACATCCTCACCAGTTACTGATATTGCCACACCTTTAAATACTGGCCAATCTGATTGTTTTGGATCAATCAAAACAATTGATTTTGAGCCCTGTTGTTTTAACATGAATTTTTCCATATGGAAATGCAATTATCCTTGTACTATTTCTAAGTGTCCACCATTTCTTGTTTAGTTTATAATGTTCTCTCTCAGTATCATGTTTCTTTACGTACTCTCTTTGCTGATGGGAGGCACCCTTCACTTTTACAGCTTTAAATATCTGGGATGTGTCTTTGGATATCTGATAGAGCATCACCCACCACTTCATTACTGCTCTTCAGAATTGTCTTGACTATTTTTGGAACTTAGATTTTCAATATGAATTTAGGACGAGCTTGTTAAACTCTGCAAATATGAAGAAAAAAGACTGCTGGGAATTTAATTGGGATTGCAGTAAGTTTGTTAATTAATTTTAGGAGTATCAAAATCTTTGTGATATTTAGCAAATATCTTGTCAAATTCTTGACTTTACATCATGCTTCCACATTTCACCCTCAATATTTCACCAATATTTAATCCTATACCCTTTTGCTGTAAGATTTTCCTGCTAAGGTTAAGGAAGTCCCTTTGAGTCTTTTTCTTTTTTTTTTTGCTGAGTGTGAATTTCTTTATATTATAATAGTTAATGCCTACAAAATAATACACATGTATGTTATAAATCATAATATTAAAACAAACACTTGTGAGTTCACAACCAACTTAAAAACTAGAACTTTTCCAGTTGGTTGAATCCATATGTGGACTCTTCCACATTCTATCCCCTTGATTTCTTTCACTGCAAAAGTAACTACTTTCTTGAAAAAAACTGTGTTTAATCATTCTTTGTCTTTCTAGAAGTTTAATTGCATATATATGTATCCCCCACCAATATTTTTTAGTTATATAAACTAGTGATAGAGTCTTACATACAGGATACATAGCTGATTTCCTTGGCAACCTGCTTCTTTCACTCAACATGTTTCTAAGATTTTTAAGATTCATCCACTTTAATATACATAGTAGCAATTCATTAATTTTCATGTTGAATAATATGCCATTATGTGATTTATTTATTCATGGTTATGTTGATGGACATTTCAATTATTTACAGTTTTTAACCATTCCAAACAATGCTACTATGGACATACTTATACATGCCTTGTGCTCCTGTGTACAAACGCCCCATGCGTTAGAGTCTTTTTTGACTAATACCTGTTAGGTGAATTTTTGAGGTAGGTATGTTCAAGTTCTCTCTCGCAAGTTACTGTCATACTGTGTCCAAAGTGGTATCAGTTTATGCTCCTATCAGCAGTGCATAAAGTTTCCCATGTTCCACGTCCTTGCCAAATTTTGGATTTGTCATGTTTCTTAACTTCTCCAATCTAATTGGTATAAAATAGAATATCATTCTTTGCTCATCAATTCTTTTTATATCTCACCTCCATCTTAGATAATTTTTCTTTGCCCTTTAGAATTTACTTCTCTGAGGGTTTAAATGTAGCAAAAGTCTCTTTTCTTCTTTTCTTTTTTTGGTCTAAAGGTGCCTTTATTTTGAGTTCACTCTGAGAATAATAGTTTAGATGGGTATAGATTTTAGATTACTGTTTCTCAGTGCATTGAAAATATTCCATTGTCCTCTGCCTGCTATTGTTTCTATTGTAAACTAGTTGAAAGTCTAATTTTTTCCCCTCTGAATATGAAGTCTTTTCTCTGTAGCAATTTAGATCTTCTCTACACTTTTGCTGTTTTACAGGTTCATTCCTCCATGTGTAGGTGTGGTCTTCTTTTTATTTAACCTCTTAGAATTCATAGGGCTTCCCAAATATGTGGGTTAATGTTTTGCATCAGTCTGGAAAGATCTCCATAATTTTCTTTACAAATAATTGCCTTTGCTTCATTTTCCTTCTGTAACTCCAACAATATCTATGTTCGTTTTTCTTGTTTTTTGTTCATGTCCCTTAACCTCTTTTTAAGATTTACTATCTTTTTCCCCCTCTCTATGTGTTGTATTCTGTTTAATTTTAGATCTATCTTCCAATTCATTAATTCTCTCTTCAATTGTATCCAGTCTGTCCTTTAACTCAACCTCTGAGTTTTAAATTACTCTACTTTATGCTTCTAGAAGCTGTGTTTTGTTCTTTTAAAATCTTCTAGTCATTTTTCAGTTCCTTGCCTCCTAGTCATATTTTTATTTTTTAAGACTATTTGTCAAGAACTGTGAAGGTTATGAGATTTTATGCTATCTGAAAGTTAGCTTGCCACAACTGTGTAGATGCTGAAAGAAGACATGAGGCTTTGTCTCAGAGACAACAGACTTTATTATTCACAGAAGAAGCAGTAGCCAAAGTGTCAACATGCTTGTTTTGGCTCCCTATGTCCTGGTTCCTATAGGAGTTACACAGATGGGCCTAGACAGCTACCTATACAGGAGAGGAGCATTGATCTTGGCAAACATGACAATTTATAGTGGACAGTAAGTAAGCCTGGACTTTCTCCTAGTGGGAGACATTACCTTACCCTTTAAGGTTATCTGCTGCAAACAGAAGCCTGAAAAACTGGGTAAAGATCAGCCAGGGCCTTGATCTTTAGGGATACAAAGCAAGATGTGCAAGAACAAGAGACTCATGGAGGAGGGTTTCTCAACAATATTGAATATAATTAAATATAATGGTTTTATATTCTGAGTTGGCAATTCTAATAGCTATGAGTCTTATTCTACTATCTATTATTTCTGTTGGCTCTTACACATGGTATTTTTTTTCTTTGTGAATGTTATGATTTTTGACTGTGGGTTCATTTTTCTTGGAGTAAAGGGGGTTTTCTCCAGGGAGAATTTATATTTACTTTTGGCAGTACTACCAGCTGAAAGTCACTTTAAAGTATATTCTTAACTTGAGGTTTTTTGGACCACTCAATGTGAATAAAGGCTGGAAACCTATGGATGGGTATGCTTGTGGTAATTAATTCTAAGTGGGAAATGACTCCCCCTCCTTCCTCTTTTATTCAGCACCACATTAAATATAAACAACTTCCTTGTATTGTCATGGAGGGCATTTCATTCATAGTTCACCTTAATGCTAAGGGAATAACATTTTGGGGTTCCAGTTTTGTGCAGCAGGGATTCCCTGTAGATTCTGTTTCTTGAGCCAGCCCTGGACTTTATCTATTCCCTGTACCCTCTGAAGTAATAAAAACTATAGAGTAGCACTAATGCTGTAACAACCATAGCCAAAAACTTAAGTGGCTTAACATAATACAGGTTTATTTCCCAATCACATAATAGTCTAATTTAGGTGTTTCTGATGAGAATGCAGCTTTTTCCCATGTGGTGATTCAGGGACTCAGACTGCTTCCTTCTTGTAGCTCTGCCATCC